TGCTAAGTGTTTCTATGAGTGCTTGTCCCACTCTGATACCATCTGTCACGGATTTAGCTGGTTTTGCCTAAGTCGTGTGACACCCTTGCGTGTCCGTCCGCAAAGGTCAGCCTCTCCGAAGCCTCCCACTGTCCCTTAGGACCAACAAAAGAGAGAACGGGTTAGAGAGAACGCCTCAATCGGGATCCACAAGCAAACATCTCTGAAAAACACTTCATAGGCAATGCAAATTACAAACAGACTTTACAAGCTCTGAACAGTTGCACAACAAAGGGTAAAATGGTCCATTACAGACCGAGAATCTCTCGCACGTGTCCACATGACACAACCTTTATTTACAAGCCTAAAAAGGCCACCAACCCAACTAAAATGGGACTATTAAGCCTTCGGTCGCCCCTCTACATGTTGTACAAGGCATGAACATGCCAAAAGATACGGACATACATAAGCATTACATCAAACATCTTGTTTAGAAGTTTGTCCATGACAGTTCGTCGGAATTTCTGCGGGAACCAACCAAGAAGTCCAAGAGCTTGCCATGGAAGCTTGTTAGAACTCGCCAAGAAGATCGTCGCAAAGTCCAGGAGCTTGCTGGGAGTCCGCCGGAGCATTGCCGAGAGTTCGTCGGATGTTCACCAGAAGTACGTCAGAAGCTCGCCGTAAGTGCGATTGACGCACAGGAACATAAATTGCAATAATCATGTCTTAGTTGTCGTAGTTAGAATGTAAATTAAGTTAGCATTGGGAGGTAATCCCACTAACTTAATTAGGGGCCAATTGGGCCCTAAGATGGGCTGGTTTGGGCCGGATTCAAGGCCCAACCAGAACCCAAAATTTTCGGCCGGCGATGGCACCGCTTAGGAGAATCAGTCTCCTCGGAATTCTGAGCGGTAGTACCACCCCTGTCATGCAATAGTACTGCCAGCAATTATTGCTGCCAACGATGGTACCGCCCCTGTCAGGCAATGGTATCGCCAGAGCTCGGTCTTCAAGCTTTGTCAGGTAGTAGTACCGCCTAGACTGAGCGGTAGTACTGCCCAATGTCAGATGTCAAGTGGTAGTACCGCCAAGACCTCGAAAATGCAGGATAAGACACTTCTTGGCTCCATTTTTGAAAGCCATTGGGGTCTATAAATACCCCACCCTTTTCTGCATGAAAGGGCATGAAAACTTGATACATTCTTGAGTCTTTGAAGTGTTAATGAGTTATAAAAGTGCTAGAGTTCTCCTCCTCCTTTTCTAAGTATTGAGATCATTCAAGAGAGGAGTGAAACTTGTAAGGGTTGTCTTCTAAACCCGACAAAAAGAGAAATGCTGTAAAAGGTGGTTGGCCTTCACCTATTGAAGGAAGGCCTTTAGTGGACGCCGGTGACCTCGTCGGAAGAGGAAGCCGAAAGTGGATGTAGGTCATGATTGACCGAACCACTCTAAATCTGGTTTGCATTTCATTTTGAGCAATCTTCTTTAACTGCAAATCATTTTATAGCAAAGTACTTCTTCTCCTCATCTTACTTTCACTACACTTACGCTCTCTTACGTTTTAAAGTAATTATCTTTCCAAATCGATTTTCTTCGAACGTACGAAATATTTTCTAAAATCGTATAAGTTTTCCGCTGCACTAATTCACCCCCCCTCTTAGTGCGCTCTTGATCCTAACAGATACTACATTGTTTATCAAAAATTTTGAAAATAATTTTCTCATTGTTCAAATTTATGTTGATGATATTATTTTTAGTTCCATGAATGAATCACTATGTGAGTCGTTTGCTAAGAGTATGAGTCTTGAATTTGAAATGAGTTTGATGGGGGAATTAACTTTCTTTTAAGGTTTACAAATCAAATAACTAAGTAATGGTATATTTCTTAGTCAAATAAAATATGCTTTAGATTTGCTAAAAATGTTTAAAATGGATAGCTCAAAGGCTATCAACACTCCTATGAGCACCTCCACTAAGTTAGATATTGATGAAAGTGGAGAAAGCTTTGATCAAAAAGCTTATAGGGGTATGCTAGGAAGTTTACTATACCTCATCGCAACTAGACCGGATATCATGTTTAGTGTACGACTTTGTGCTAAGTTTCATTCTAATCCTAAGATATCTCATCTTAAAGCAATTAAGAGAATACTTAGATATCTTAAAGAAACCACAAATCTAAGATTATGGTATCCAAAATCTGAGAACTTTGAACTAATTACTTATGCTGATGCAGATTTTGCTGGATATAGATTAGATAGAAAAAGTACATCCGGAACATGTCAATTTTTAGGACACGCACTTGTTTTTTGGTCTTCTAAGAAACAAAATTCAGTTGCACTATCTACAACCGAAGCCGGGTATATTGCAGCTTGTCCATGTTGTGTACAAGTTGTGTGGATAAAAAATACTTTAGAAGATTATAAGATTCATCTTAAAAACATTCCCATAAAATGTGACAACACAAGTGCAATATGTTTAACAAAAAATCTCATTCAATACTCTAGAATGAAGCATATTGATATTATGCATCATTTTATATGAGATCATGTCAATAATCATGATGTAATCTTAGAGTTTATTGATACAAAATATCAATTAGCCGATATCTTTATAAAGCCTTATTAAATTTCTATTTTGAACAATATGATTTTATTAGAAGAGAATTAGGAATGTTAATTTATCCGAATGTATGAACTTATTAAATTTCATTTTTGGACTTTCTTGATTTTTTGGATCACTCACCTATATCTTCTCCTCTTATGATGCAAATTTTACATGATGATATAAATAAGGTTGTGTACTTCACGACAATAAAATGTTTACCTTATGTTGGAATTCTGTGCTTTGATGTTGAAAATTTCTATAATGTTATGATCTTTTTAAATGATGAGCATGTTATCATACAATGATGCAATATCGTGTTTATTTTGATGCTGAAAATCTCTTTGATGATTATGATCTCTATTGGATATTATGAAGTTTTAATCATACATGATGTAATATCATATTCTTAACTTTTGAGTGCTACAAGCACTAATGATATTACCTCATGCAAGTAGTGATGAAAGACTATGACGAAACATTTTATAAATGTATAAAGTGTTTATGCATATCTTAATGTTTGATTCATGGAAGTTATTGATAAATGCATCTCTCATGGATTTCACTCTTATGAATTTTTAATGAGAAATGGATTTGATGTAATGCTCTTCTCACTATGAAGTTTTATTCGTGAATTTCTCCTTCATGTTATACTCCTCTCCCATGAATAATTGAATGAATTCTAATGGATATATTAATCCTTGAAAGATGAATTTTCGTGTGTGACAATGAAAGCATGTGTGTGATATTTTTTTGTAGGGATTTGATTTCATATGGATATCTCGATCCTTTTTATGAATTCCTTCTCTTTGTCAAAATGAAAGCATAGTTTTCATCAAAATGAAAGCATATTTTAACGAAAATATTTTTATCATTTTTGACTTGATTCAAATCATTTCACAAATTTAGCTGTTAATGGATTCCCTCCTTACCTTCTTTCCTCTTCTTCATGCAAAATGTGATGATAAAGGGGAAGAAGTTGTTGGAATCTATCGTTTTAATGTTGATAACATCTAATGATGAGAACTTTTTAGTGTGAAACTTGCTTGATTTTTTTTTATCATACTTGAATTGTTGAATTATTCTCCTTTTTGTTGATGACAAAGGAGGAGAAATAATACCAAAATATGATAAATTGATGATAAATGTATGAAATGTATTTCATCATATATACTATGTTTGCTTGATAAATTTCTTTCATTATGATAAGATATTTAGAGCTTAACTTGCTATTTTGTAAATGATATCTTGCCATAGAATGATGAATTGCTATCTTTGTCATCTTTCATATTTGAAATATCATACTTGAAAATGGATGTCATGCCTTGACATCATTATATATATATATATATATATAATGTTCATATATATATATATATAATAATAATAATAATAATAATAAGTAGGTCACATTAATTCCAACAGAGGAGCTCAGCAATTTTTAAACAGTTTTAAATTTGATCTCAAGTTTCATTTGTTTTAGGATTGTGTGAGATCGTGCTTATAATTTAAGCCATTTTATCTGTCCATGTAATAACAGCAATGATCAAGAGTTTCACTCACAGTCATGCATACCTCCACGATCCCCATCCCCTTCTCTCCACCACCCTATAGTATAGTAGCCTCCTTTTTTCTTTTTTTCTCAGTAAATGTTATCATTTGTGAAATGGAAGGTTCATAAGATAGATAGATAAATAGATGGGGGCTGAAAATATCAAGTCAATTCTTGTGATGAGATAGAGAGTGCTTTCCAAGCTCGCACCACGAGAAAGCCCACTACATTACAACCTTCCCGGCACCGGTGGAGAGATAAAAATTGTCTTGAGAATGCAGATCAAATAACAAATCAAATGAGAAACCAGATGTAAGAAAATGTATTAACCAAAAATAAACAATTTGTGAGAGCTGAGGGATGCATATAACTTCCATTGTCACTATCATATTTATGTCTAGCTAAGAATCAAGCACAAAGGTCACCCATTAAAGTCTTGAGAAGAAGAGGAAATGGTTACGTCGTTGGTGATCCCAAGGAGGGCCCATCTCCACAAAAAAAAATGTGTTCTGTACGCAATGTCGTTGCGACTGAGGTCCCCCTCATCATACAAGTAGCCGTTAGACGCCCACAGACATTGTGCGACATCCACTCTCCTTACTTTACAGCACCCACCCCCGGATGCTGCGAACCTCATCCTCATCGTTCGTGGCCGTCCGGTCAATCAATCAACTTCCTTCACAATTCTTAATGCCAGGATCAGGGTGTACAATTAACTGCAATATTCTATGTAAAACGTGTACGCGCCTAAGACGAAGCTCGTACAAACTTATGTTCGTGTGGGGAACCACATGCTAACCATAGACGCTTATACGTAACGACATGGAACTTACGGGCCAAGCGATTCCCATAACCGATTCACCTGCGACCGACAAGGACGGGTGAACGAAGCCGTCCCCGCACCACAAATGATCATTCTATCCTCCGGTGGCCGGAGAGTGCCCTTCTTCGTTCGCGATGACATGGGTGACGTTTTGACACAGAAAAGGGTCTAAGACGGAAAGGTGCTCAAACCGAATCGGGTAGGGTCGGTGCCGGCAACCGGTAGGCGAGCATCTGTCAACGGGAAACAGCCGGTCACCTGGCGGACTCTTTTAAATTTCTTCCTTCTCTCTCTGCCTTCACTCGTCTCTGTTCACTCGCCGTTGAAGCTTAAACAAGCTTCTAGGGTTGGCAAGATCTGTCCTCTCCTCCCAAATCTTTTCTTACCGAATAGGTTTTCGAGATTATTCTGTAGTGGTTTTGGCTCCTTGGGATCGAAACGTCTTGTGGGTAGGTTTTCTGGTGGTTCGTTCGCGGTTCTCTGATCTCCGGAGCGATGGAATCGAGGTCTGAATCGAAGACCAATTCTAATCCTAGACAAGTACGGAGACACAGTGCTGCAAAATCGAGGGTCTCGAGGCCGATGGAGTGCGCAAGGAAGAAGGAGACGTTGCAACTGGATCGGAACGTGTCGGAAGATGGATCAAGCACTTCCGAGTCTTCTTGCGGCCTGTCTGTGTTGAAGGCTGGCAGATTTGAAACCAGGAAGAGACAAAGTAGGGTGAAACCCGTGAAGGTAGTATCTCAAGGTGTCGGTGAGGCGGTGGTGGTGCCACAGTTGCAGTTGGAACGGACGATTGGCAAGAGAAGATGTACTTGGATCACACCCTTCTCTGGTACGTGGTTTCAGCTTTCTTTGTTCATTGCATAATTTTTCATCTAATGAAGAAAATAAATATATAGGAGAATGCTTAATTATAATGTGGTATGAGGATCTTATTTCCTCTGCTTGCCTTCGTACATGGTGAAGTGATACATTGTCATACTGAAACAGAAGTTCAAAATGGTAGGTACTTCAAACGACGAACAAATTAGTCGGTGCAAAATAGTCAAAATGGTTCTTTCTGAAGAAAGTTTCTACGGTCAACACCTTTGGATCTTAGTTATTTCCCATAATCTTAACGTGGTTTTGATGGTAAGCTGTCCTAGATAGGTTAAACATAGGATTGGAGGGTGCTCCCTAAAGAAGTGCATAGGAAGTGAAACTAGCGAGCTATATTATGATAACTACTTCTTCCTATCCAAGAAATTGTTTCTTTTTATTTTCTTTTGTCTTTTGAATTGTGAAAAGTAAGAAACTATCTTGTTCATTTTTGTCAGATTTTAGGATGTTGGAATGCCAGCATTTATGGAAGTCGTGGGACAGGAAATGGTGCTCATTCATATGTTTCTTTCTTCTTGTCCTTTTCTCCAAATTACGTGAAATATTTTATTTACTGATTTTGTGTGGGCCATTTGTTCCCTTAAAGCTCGTGTGGTTGCATCATAGAATAGGCAAATATCAATAATGAATAGACAGACAAGAACATGGCACACTCCAATCGCTGTGACACAACAAATCTCATAAAATTATACTACAAAGCATGAACAAAACAATTATTACATGTATATTATCTCCATAGCTCATTTGAGATGCAAGCATTTAACACAAATTAAACTTATGTAGATGATATAAGTGTCCCACACATATTTAGTACATTAACTACTGTATTGCCAAGAGAGCTATAGTTATGATTGTGTCATATAATTATATGTGATATTTAATTGTTATGGCTTAAAAGTAATTTCATTTTTCTCTTTTATGACTATCAGTAATAGATACACATTTGTTCAGATATTACTTTCTCCAAAGTAATTTCTGATATTATTGTTATGTTTGAAAAAATAATACCTTTTTTGCTCTTACAAGTAATTTTGACAAATTCATTCAAATATTACTTTCTCAAAAATATTTTCTAATTTCTTCCTGATTTCTTGTCTAATGAGTGCTTAAGTTGCTTTGCATATAGATACATCCATAGTGACCATGGAAACTAATTTAATCATTATAAACATTGAAATCCTAACATTTTGGTTGTAAGTACCTTCACTATGCATACATTATCCCAGGCAACCCTTTTAAGCATCTTCAGTATGAAGTATTCCCCAAACTAATTATTTTCAGATATCAATTAATTTTGAAATTTTTTATTCTTTCATTCATGTAATAAATTTATTTATTTTTTATGCAGTCAATTGTTAAGTTGGATGTATTAAGATGTACACATATTCAATATTCTTTATAGCCCCCTTAAGCAATATTTTCTGGCTTCATCTCTGTTGACGCATATCAAAAGGTATCCATATATTGATGTCCCACTAAAACATGACATGAACACATCAAACATTTTGAAGTACCCATGCATTATAGAAAAAAGAAAATCCATAATTCTATTTAGATCCAATCAGAGCCCAATTGTGTTGAATATAAGTATAAATCATGATAGCCTGGTAATTTGGTTATAAAATGATCCACTTAAATTGATGAAAAATATAATATGTGGGTGCATATGAGAGATGATTGCTAGTCACAACCCAACATAGTACGGATGCTTGAGATAATTTGTGCTTTGAAGAAATGCTACAGACGGGAGTGCATCTTTTGCAGTCAAATACTGTAGAGAGTCTTTAACAGTGGTTCCAGCTATGTTGCAATCAAGGCTAGATCTCTCTGTTGTCTTGCACCAAACGACACAATTATAAGGTGGTTTCACACTTGTTGAACCTTTGTCCACTGGTGATTGCATTTTGAGAAGGTATAACCATAATTTTGAACTTTAGAGGTAAACCAATTAGTATGAGATAATGTTAAATTAAATGGTGAAATCATGAGAAGTATGGTTGGTCTTAAATTTTTTATCAATGTCATTAAATCTAAAAGCCTAGAACAGGAATGGGAATAGTTGATCCAATTTTACTTTTGCTTGTAAGGTAGTTTCATACTTATTGTATCTTGTTGTCTACTGGTGATTGCATTTTGAGAAATTATCACAAGGATTTTGAACCATAGAGGTAGACCAACTAATATGAGATTATGTTGAATTAAATGGAGAAACGAGAAGTATGACTGGTCTTAAATTTTTTATCAATATTAATGCATCTAAAAGTTAAGTCAATAGATGAGATTGATGGAATATAAAGAGAAATAAACTTTTGTATATGAACAAATACTAGCAGGCAATAACACGCAGAATTAAATGGAATCACAATCAAATAGAACACCAAGATATATATGGAAAACCCCTCCAATATGAAGGGTAAAAACCACGAGGCAAACTAGAGATAATCCACTATAAGAATAATGAAGATATAAATTTCAATCTCTTGCCCAAAACCCCAGCAACAATCATAAGAGAATAACTGGGATACAAGGATCACGTCACTGTGCACAATATTTAAATTCTCCCCAAGTAATCACAGCAAGAATCTACTATAGATCTGATCTAACTTGAGCTGATAACACTACTAGATGATTGCGAACAATCTCTCTACGTTGTCCTTATTTTCTTCCCTTTCTTTCTCTTATTTTTTCTATCTTTTTCTTCTCCTCCTTGAATCAAGTTGCTGTTGCCAAAAACTGCTCATGGCTGCATTTTTTCTGCACCAAAAACGTAGCCCCTGCACCCCATAACTTTAATCTAAGGTTAGGTCAAAGGGGGGTTGGGCTATAGGTTGATAAAGCCCACTATGGGTTGAATCTGTGGGCTGCCAGCCCAATAACCTCCCCCTTCAGCCTATAAGGGAGGCTGTCCCATGACTCCTCAATGTGAAGCTATACCGACCAGCTATCGGCATATCTCCTGTCTTTCTTTCGGTAAAGTCTTTGTCAACATGTCTGCTTCGTTGTCATCTGTGTGAATTTTCTGAAGTTGCAACTACTTCTCTTCAAGTACATTTCGAATCCAGTGGTATATGATATCTATATGCTTTAACTTAAAATGAAAAGTTGGGTTTTTACATAAATGGATGGCACTCTGGTTGTCACAATGCACCACATAGTTTTTCTGTTTCAGCCCCAATTCTTGTAAGAATTCTTTCATCCATAACATTTCTTTGCAAACCTCTATAGCAGTAATATATTTTGCCTTTGTGGTGGAGAGAGCAATACACCTTTATAACCTGGATTGCCATGACACAGCTCCCCTTGGAAAAGTAAGTACATAACTCGTATTTATATCTTCTGTCATATCTGCATCTATGTAACCTATCAACACAGGTGGTCCACCTCCAAAACTTAAATAAACCTTAGAGCTCCCTCTGAGATATCTAAAAATCCACTTTACTATTGCTTAGTGCTCTTTGCTTGGATTTGTAAGAAATTTGCTAGTAACACCCACTGCATATGAACCTTTTGCATTTTCTGCTTCTCCTCATCACTTAATTGACTCTGTTCTGAGCACAACTTGAAGTGACTTGCAAGAAGACAACCAACTGGCTTTGCATTGCTCATACTGAACCTTTCCAATACCTTCTCGATATATTTCTCTTGTGACAATCAAATCTTCTTAGTTTTTTTGTCACAGGAAATATGCATGCCTAGTATTTGTTTTGCTAACCCCATGTCCTTCATTGCAAAGGACTCATTTAGTTTTTTCTTTAACCTGTCAATTGTAGACATATCTTTCCCAAGAATAAGTATGTCATCAACATAAAGTAAGAGAATAATAAAATTCTCACCAAACCATTTGATATACACACAATGATTTGAAGTTGTTCTTTTGAATCTATTTTCTGTCATAAATAAATCAAATTTTCTGTACCACTATCTTGGAGCTTGCTTTAGCCCATACAAGCTCTTTTTCAACTTGCAGACAAAGTTCTCTTTACCTTTGACTTTAAAGCCTTTTGGTTGCTCCATATAAATTTCCTCCTCCAAATCACCATGTAGGAAAGCTGTCTTCACATCTAACTGCTTAACCTCCAAGTCCTGGTTAGCAGTAATACCAAGAACAACACGAATAGAAGACATTTTAACAACAGGAGAAAAAATCTCTTCAAAGTCAATACCTTTCTTTTGACCAAAGTCTTTCACAACCAACCTAGCTTTGTACTTTGGTTAAGAACAATATTCTTGAGTCTTCAACCTGAAAACCCACTTGTTCTTCAAGGCCTTCATTTCATTTGGTAGTAGCACCAAATCATAAGTGTGGTTCTTCTGAAGAGCATTCATCTCATCCTGTGTAGCAACTAATCACTTCTTTTTCTGCTCACTTTCAACTGCTTCCTAGTAATTCTCTGGTTCACCTGCATCAGTAAGCATCACATAGTCATCTGTAGAGTATCTTCTGAAAGGTTGACGTTGTCTAGAAGATCTTATCAATTGAAGTTTTGCGGGAAGTTGCTCTCCAACTTCTTCTTGCTCAACATGTCCTACAGGTAGATCAATATTAGGCTCTACATCATCTTCCTGCACATCTCCCCCATCACCCTAATATATTGGAGGAGTAATTGGGTCACAATTTGTTAATCCTTCTATAGAAATCTTGGTTGGTGCCTTCTTCTTCAAATCTTCAAAGGTTTGATCCTCAAAGAAGACCACGTCTTTGCTCTTAAACACCTTCTGCTTTTCTAGATCCCAAAGCCTATAACTAAACGGATCATGTGAGTAGCCAAGAAAAATACATTATTTAGTCTTACCATCTAGCTTGGACCTCTCATTGTTTGGAACATGTGCAAATACACGACAACCAAACACTCTCAAATGCTTATAGGAAACATTTTTCCCTGACCATACATGCTCTGCAATATCATCATCTAGGGCTGTACATGGTGATAAGTTGATCACATCAACTGTAGT